CATACATCTGACCTCTGCCTAAATACTAGTATATTGATTTATGATAATTAAATAACTGTGTCTGTTTTATCAAATTACTCTGGTTAATCCATCTAGGGAATTAAACAGCACATAAAACATACATGTATTCCAGCAATAATCACTTGAAAGCTGTTACGCTGTTTGATGACAAATAAGTGAGTTGACAAGTGAGCAGGACAGGACAATATCATTAGAACCAATTCTTGACTTTTCACAATGAAGTTTTTCAATTTGTGGTCTCTAGTTTAAGCCACATAACTCTATCCCATGCTTCACTTGGATTCGCAAGATCTACATCACAAGATCTGTATTGATATTAATAACATGAAAAGAAAATGCAGGTTTCACTTACTTAAAATTTAATTAAATATTTTGTGTTATTCATGAAATTCAGATTAGCATCTAAATTTTTACATTCAAAATTATAAAATTTTCTTCAAAACTGAACATAACGAGGTTTGATCTTGGAACTTAAGAAAATGCAAGCCCACTTAATAATGACTTTTTAACAGACAAGTGTTATCAAGGTTTTTGAAAAGGCCAATGTAAGACGATGTCTGACAAAATATAAATTGAAAATATAGATCCTACTTGATAAAAACATGTCTGGCCTTAAATTGACACAAAATTTAAACAAACCTGAACTTTCAGATTCTGAGCAACACATAGCGAATGTCATCACATTGTTTGTTTCTACTAGAGGATGAACTTTATATTACCTGACTTGTTAAAAACATGAAATGTTCAACCCCCTCCCTTATTGTAACAGAAGAAAATATTCAAACACTCACCCCCCCCCCCCCCCTAATTATAACAGAAGAAGACATTCAAACAGGTAAATTCAATAAAACAAAAGGCAAGTCCTTTGAGAATATGACCCAGACCACCTGGAATAGGTGCCGTAAATGGAGGAAGTTTGAAGTATTTCCCCCAATCCACCACCCCAACGACTGAATACAGTAACGCAGACCACCCCGAACCAGATGACTAATAAGCAGGGATTAACATACATTGAATCAGAAGAATGGTGAACCCAAAGGTCAATGTCATTTTTCAAGTATTTGACAAAGGTACACATTACCCACGTTGATTCTGTTTAAGATTAGGATGTAAAAGTGCAAGTACAACCATCAATTGTCCCAAAAATTAAGGAAACCTTAACATTTCAATCTCAGGTCATGTGTGTACTTTAATGGAAATCTGCTTAAAATTTGAATGAAGTGTTTGATTTTCTTGCATTTTTATACAATTTAGAGTGTTCACTACAAGCTAGTTTACTTTATTCCCCGTTCAATCCACTCTTTTGCTTTCTATTCTCCATTTCAAATATGACCTTCAAGATTTTTTCATCATGGGTTGATCTCTAAACATAATAATTCAACTTTTCTGTTACCCTAAAGTGAATAACAAGACAAGTTGACATAATTACACACAAGGACAATGACAAATATAACATGCAAACCATAGAAATGAAATGAGACCTTGTAAAAAAACAAAAAACATGTCTCATTTAGAGTAAAATATTCTTTTCTTCATTCATTCTTCTCCAATAGAGGAACCACACTAGTTATACATTTTAAAAACATAAATTGCCTTGAAATCATATCAACATAAATTATCATTCTTTTATTTTTCTTTCCTTGACTTTTTTTAATTGACAGACATTTTTTATATATGAAATGTCAAGAATTGTTTAAAAATGGTAAGTAATAAACACAGTGGGGACAATAAACAAATTGGCACCAAAGCAGTAATAAACACAATGATTATGTCTAAGATTCTGCCATATCAACCCAATTGATACCATATGTTTATGACAGATTATTATGAAAAATAGCTCCTATCTTTAAGGCTCTTTAACTCTTTAACTAGTTCAATTAATGCTTCAACATTATTAATAATCTTACTATTTAAGATCAATTGTAAAACAAAGAAATGTGTTTTCAGTATTCTAAAAGAGATTTCCTAACAATTGCACCGGCCAAATAAACCCAAAAGATCTTACCCAGGTCAAAAATTGAGGTCATGTGATTTAAATTTTAACCAATCAAGACACAGAGAATGATTTCCATATGATAAAATATGGTACCATCTTTGGAATGAATCGATTCAATATTTTACATGGTCCAATTACAAAATCATGAATTATATCTTGGGGCTACTCGCTAGATTGAAATAAATTTGAATTCAAAAAGAGTATCATTTCTATATAACGTTGCATCTGTGTTCCCTCGGTGTTCCCTCAAATAATAGACCAATCATAAAACATTATTAGTCTGAATACACAGCCAGGCTAATTTCCGCTATAAAATTGATGTAATTTGACATGAATAAAATACAAATAACACAGTTGAGTTAAAATGAGATATAATTCAACTTGATTTGTTCAGCAGACTTTTTTTGTATTAATAATAATTTGTGGGAACATGATTCGCAACCAAAATAGTTTGATAATTGCAGCTATTTACTGACTATCACTAAATGAAACATTTCCGCTCGTATCTAGCACCATTCTAAAAAACAAGTATATTAGCTAACTAATCATTTCTAGAAAATAAGAATATGTTGCTACAGCGCTGACAATCTTGTTAATCCCATTTGTCCAAAATCATAAGATGATTGCCCCAAAGTAGCATTTTTAAGCGAAGATAATAATCTACCTATTAGCTATGACAATCAAGTCCAGAAATCCAGGCATTAACTTCCCCGAAGTATCATTAGAGAAAATGAAACATGAAGTTGACATGTTACTTCCTCATGAAGAACAAATGAGGTCAGTCTGCCCTAAGTTTGCATATAATATAATACACAAGGGACAGGGGGAGGGGGTACATGACAGTTTCGGCTCATCAATTTTTGCTTGATATTGATTCGGATAGTCCCAAAACAGCTTATTAAAGAGGACTGACATGAATTCTGATGTAAAAGTCAAAATAAGATCAATGTTGCCTCTTTCGTCTTTTGATGTTGCCTTTCATCTGCAGCGCATGTCAGTATGACCTTGATATTCGTAACCATGCAATTTTAGACTTTTTACCTTTCTATTTGACCTTGAAACCAAAAATAAAAGTTGTAAACATAATGACGAAAACTTCTTAAATAAGTTCACCTAAAATTTGACATTTAAATAATATACATTGACTCTACCGGGTTACCTTGTTTCTGACTAATTTAAGCATTTACCTTTATACTGTATTTTAAACGCATTTAACACTTGGCATATGGGTTTGCTTTAGCAACTACATGAATACAATGTTCCGGTAATACCTATTTCAGTCTCTAAAATGAAAATTTGAAGTCACATGAATGTTTTCCTTCCATTTCTATATGATTTAGGGTGCTGACATTATGCCCGTTTATTTCAATCCTATTTCATTTCTCTCTATTTTACATTTTAAAAACATTTTAAGCCATGACACATGTGAATTTTTTCATAGTCCGGCATCATTACCACTTTTAAAGCTACATGCAAGTAATAACCTTTAAAATAATTCGCGGTAAGTCACTGTGGAAGATTTACAACCTAAACTTCCCCTATGATCGAATAAAAATAATCTCATTCCAGACAGTATTGTGTTTATATGATAAATGAGTAAATTCTATGATGCGGTTCAATCAGGCGAAAGTTTGTTTCATATTCTCTTCAATAATTTCATTTCATAAGCTTGCAAGCGTGAACGTAAAAGATATTAGATTACATTGTAAGTTAATGATCAAACACACGGAGAACAAACCCTGTCAAAAGTGAATAATGCTGAGATCAGCTAAAAGAGTTCATGTTGGGAATTATTCCGTGATCACATTTGCTACGATCTTAAACACCGGCACCAGGCCGATGAGCATGTTGTTCAAAAGGAATGGAATTTTGAACAAAATACTCATCGGCCCTGAGCCAGTACTGAAAATTGGAACAAATGAGACCACAGCATCTTGCATCATTGCAAGAGGTGATGTATGTGGGTATGCGGGGGGGGACTTGAAGCAAGGCTCAGCGGAGCTCACTTGTAGTAATCCAGAGAACATTTAAAATGGAACTGCAAAGCATCAACACAGAAGTCAAACATTAAACATATGCAAGAACCATATAACATACTCCATCCTCATACTCAACGTACCTCTTTTTACTAGTTATGAAGAAACAACTGTTATTACCACGATGACATCTTATTACTTGCTTTCCAATTTGGTTCTTATGAAAGCCTCATTACAAATACTGGAAATCCCAAGATACAATCCAAGGAGAGAAAAGCCTTCACTTCACAAACAAGTATTTGATGGACTGGTCCTTGGATCCAGTGAACATTTACCTGATGCTGGTTAACAAGAAACAAACTCCAGCTTTGATCAGCCAATCTGTTAATGGATTTTCCATGTTTCTATATTGGAACTTTCTTTAACTCATTGCTCGTGTATCCTCCAGAAAAAAACCAGTGAATTCTTGTTAAGTATTTATATTTGGAAACTATTTCTTGTATGTGTTTTCAAATACATGTATGTATATTGTGGCTGTTTCTAGCCTTGCACTTGAATATTCAATTTGCAATATTCCCCCACACATACCCTCCCCATCCCCGGCCTTCCCTCCTCCAAATCTAAACCTACTCGTCACAAATTAATTTCAAAATATTGAGGTCATGAAACCAGATTATGTGGTTTGCTCCAGCTGTGTGTTTCTTGTATATAGTATGTATGTACATATATGTAATCATGTAATGTATGTCTGTAAATGAGCAACATGTTTGCATGTAAATAACTATGCCATATGTTCATTACAGTCCTGCATACAACTCTAAGAAAATACAATCAAAAAGGATAACCACATAATGTAAAGTATAGGTATTTCTTGAAGCTGTGAGCTGGACTGATTAAGTACATGTATTGTTGATAATGGCTCTTCAAAATGGAATGAGCTCTTCAAAATTGGAGTTTTGCATGAGCAACCAGATGATGAGAGGGTGGTATATTGTAAATGTACCTACCATTGAACTCGTTGATCTTGAAGAAAGTCTGAGGGTTGCCACTTGTGATTTCATACGTCAGCTTATTACTTGATCCATGATCTATATCCAAGGCAGTCACCCGTACCACTGACAAATCTGGGACACTGTTCTCCTGCAATGTACAAAATTGTGTATGTAATATAAATATTGTAAATGCTATATAAATATATAATAAATGCAATGTATATATTGGAAATGCAATATAAATATTCAGAAATGTAATATATACAATTGTAAATGCAATATACATTTTGTAAATGTTATTATATATATATATTAAATGCAATATATATATTGGAAATGTAATATAAATAATCAGAAATGTAATATATACAATTGTAAATGCAATATACATTTTGTAAATGTTAAACACGTAAAAGCACAAAGGGCAACATGAGAAACAAGTCCAGACCCCTAAAAGCCATATTATAACTTGTATTTGACACATAATGTCAGTTCAGGTCAATAACTTTTCTGGCAGTTTATCCAATTCTGTAGTTCATCTATTTTTCCCAATGGCAGTTTCGGTTTCATTTACGATTGTGTTTAATACATATCTGCACATCCCCTCAATCCACCTCAAAGTTTATGAATTAAAAGATGGAGGGGGTATGAGAAGCGAAACTATTTATGCTCAAGATTTACTTACAGGAATACTGGAGAAGTAGATGGGCTTAAAGGTCTGTGGGACATTATCGTTGATATCTTGGACCTCGATCAGCACTTCAATGGAGGAATACAAGGGGACTGTGCCCCTGTCCGTGGCATAAACTGTCAACCAATAGCGGGCTGCACTTTCACGATCTAGGATATCACTAGTGCGGATTATACCTGCAGAACATAAAAATTCGAGCGTTAGTCATGTCATAAGGTAGGTTAAATATGGTGCTCATGTTTCAACAGACTTTAAATTATTTCATATTATAACATTATTCTGTTTATTAATCACACAAATACAGCTCATTCAAAGACCCCAATCATGCTATTGCTTTCATTCATTCACAAGCATTAAACCCTAGATGAAATAGTCAATACAACCAAAATAGTCAATATGACCGATATTCATTCTAATGCTCCATGAGAATAATAAAGCCGAAGAGTTATTGTTGAGAAAACAGCAATTACTTAATTTGCAGAAAATGAAATTGGATGCAGAGATCAGAAAGACATATATCATAATCTCCAGCTTCCCTGCAGCGGGTGAACTTTTCACTTCTAATAAATAAGAAAAGAAATTGAGAATTAAGTGAAAGATGTGGTCAAATCTACAAAGACTGTATCAGGAATCCATTTGTTACCATTGTTAAATCGTATGAGAATTTTTAAGAGTTCTTTGTAGAAAATGAATGAGATTGTCATTATAATGTGATCATTTTATCAGTCTGTCTTACAGTACAGACTCATCAAAAGCACATTAGGCTCATGGCATTAGCTTGGGATAAAAAAATAATTTGTTTGTTTGTTTGTTTGTTTGTTTTAGATGGGGGACAAGCATGAAACAACCTCATTTATGTTCTACAGTCAAACTAGCAGTATAGACTAATAATTAAAAGCACCTCAAAGAAGCTCAACAGTTTTGGATTTGTTGGTTTTTTCCATGAGGACTAGCATTAAAGTTGATAATGATTATGTAGAGGATATAACCCCATCAACCAGCTTATTACATTCAGATCACATACAGTGACGGCACTTGATATTTCAGCATGACATATCATTACATTCATTTCTGTTAGATTTGGTAATGTGATAAGATTTGGTTTATATGATAAGACTTTATGAATGTAATATGTTATGAAAAATGACAAAATCAAGCTGATTATGCTGACATTCCAAATTGAGTATTTTTCATTATGTCATTAGATAAAGTCATTCATAATTCACACTATTTTTCTCTAAATCTTATAATATATTCAGTCTAATTTGGCATATCTATAAAATATCTTCTACAACCTGTCTATGTTTTTCTATATTGATTCCGATCATTTTCAACTTTATTTTTATTTCTCAATTTTACCCACAGGTATATTATAATAGAGGTGTCACTATGTCATATGACACCTGGTTACACATCATGTGTCATATGATACCTTGACACATTGTGTCATAAGTGGCTGCATACTTCAATAGAATTTAATGCTTAAATAATAGACAAAGTAGATAGGGGCATTAGGGGGTATTGTTTATTGTGATCTCTCACTGGCATATGATGTCATAAGTGGTCTAATGATTAGATTATTGGCCTGAAACTCTGTTTTCCACACAGCTACTAGAAAAGTGTGGGGGGTCAGATAGAAAGGACTTCAGGAAAGGAGGGGGATAGAACTATCAACGGACGTGAACTCTACAGAATTCTCGACCCTCGTGAAATCAACAGTTAGACTTGCATTGAAGAAATAGAAACCGATGTTGATCTTGAATATTCTATTTATAGTGTAATTTATAAGAAAAATCTCTTTAATAAATATTTATAGAAAGTTTGATAAAATCAACATTTCATTCAAACTAGATAACAATGTAAGAAGAGTAGCCATACTTCCCGCAATTAAAGGTGGGGTCTCTAAAAATATGTTTCTTTAAGATTTTCTTGAATTTCTTTGTTACATTGAATTAAAAGAATTTTCAAAAAATGTAAGCAATCAAAATAGCTTCAAAATCTGAAAATATTTTAATAATGTTATGCATAGGAGTGTGATTTAGTTGATCTAATGGGGGCATGTTTTTCACAAAACTGAAAGTTGATACTATTCAGTAAAAATGTTTACTTAAAAATATATCACCTCCAAATAATACAAAGTGGGAAGACTCATGAATATTTGAATTATATACACAAATCTTATTTAGGCAGAACAAAGATAGCGTTCTTAGGCCAGTATCAATTTCAAAAAGTTTTAAAACTGAATATCAATGGACATAAATACAGGTTAACACTCAATAAACATTTCCCAAGTGGCTGATATTGAAGGTCAAAAACATGAATAATATTATGAAATAAAAAATACAAAAATGTCAGAATAATTTTGAAGTGATATATCAGAAAGTTACAAATTGGAATTACTGAAACCTAAATGAATAATTTAATCTTGTTTTATAATCAACAGGAAATGATTTTATTTACAAGACGATTTTGACATGGTTTCATTTTTTATTTGTTGTATTTATAATCTCGAAAAGCTCTCAATGGCGCCATTTTTCAGTTAATCATGATATCATATTTTTTATCTCATATATTGTAAATAATGCCCGTAAAGAAAAGTTTCTTTTTCATAATACATTTCACCTTTCTCATTTTATCACTAAGTTATTTCTGTGAATCCAGACAAAGCAGCCATAAGGGCATCCCAAGAGGCTGTGGAGGGGAGAGACAATTTTTTCATAAAACTCCAAAGAGAAGAGGTTTTTTAAAATAAATAGTTGCCAGAAGCCTGTGGAAGGGTTTTAATAGCCAACTTTTTAAAAAAAAACTCCAAAAACTTTCACAGGATGAGATTTTTCAAAATAAATAGTTGCCAACAATCTCCCCAACACACTTCAATAGATGGTTGCCCCCTCCCCTTTGGCAATGTCAAGATAGATATGAAAAATGGCTAAAAACAAGATTGGTAGACAACCCTGGATGTGAAACATTGTATTTGATAGAAGACGACAGAGTAATTACCACAATAAGCCAAGTTGATGTACCTATCCCCATAGACTGATAAACCTAATATATGATCATGTTATATTGTTCAGACAAATCAACTTCAAAGGTTCCAGGAATACTCCATTTTACGGCACTGTAATATCCAGGGTGTTTTTATCTGCTACAAAAAACATGATGCTATAATAAGAAACTGTTGTAATACTTGTATAACACCAATTACCTCCAATTAAAATACTGATCAATCGTACCCGACATATATTTCCCATCGCCAAATACATATTTAGCTCAGGGAATAGGATTAGCAAATAATAACGCAGAAAATGTTCGTTCTTGCATATTAAAAACCAGTAGATCAATGGTCATTCTGCGATATAATAAATGAGTTACAAGAGTAAGTGCCATGTCCCTGCCAATGGGACTGCTTTCTCCATTAATTTCTAATAACGCTACATTGGTTCTCTTACTCCGTCTTCTTAAGGCTTCAGTTATATCAAGACACAACGGCTAACAAATGATGCATAAAACCAAAAGGCCAAATGTCAGAAACTAATCACGAACGCCTCATCTCTAATCCCTGTGATCCTCACTCTGATCGCCACGAACAAAATGACGGGCAAACTGTCGTTTGATTGGCTAACACTATGACAGAATGGATAGAGATTTCATGACAGTTCCGTTTTTTAATGAGATTGCTAGGCATGCAGAATTCTTATCAATTATGCCACAGATGAATCTACTTTGTATAATAATGTCAGAAACAAAGCAGCAAAGGCAATTTCTATTGCTTCATTATTCATAATGGTCAATTCAGATGATATATAATCAAACTGTACTTTCCCAGGGGTCATTCTACTTCCCTAGCAATTATGGGATATTAAGAACTCTCTTACATATAATTGAGGAAGGGTATCATGGATCCGGTATTAGAGAGAAAATAAGTATGTAATATTACCCTAATATAGGATTACTCCTAAAGGAGACTGGGAAATCCTGAAGTAGATTGGTATAAATATGTTATCATACCATTGCATAGGAAAACTAAAACAAATTCTCAGCTGCATAGTAAAAACAGAAATTCTAAACTGTATGGAATTCACAAAGGACTCATTCTAGTTAGAGCTTATTAAAAATTTATTTGACATGTTATCATTTTGTCTTTGTCCATGTTGTGTAAAGATAAATTATCTAATTTTGAATACTTTCCAAATATAAATTATTTTCTTGCACGAAAGCTGTAAATGTTTCACCAACTATTGAAACATGCAGTTCTCTTGCCTAAATCCACATAATCTGGCTATTTCTAATGGAAACATCTTGAATGAATGCAAAGGCAGACCCGTAGCCAGGGGGAGTGGAGAGAATGGCCAGTCCCCCCCCCCCTTAGCCAGAAATTCTTTCAAAATCATGCAGTTTCACCATTTTGAGCACTTTTCGCATGATCCCTTATAAAAAATTCAACCTTGAAAGTCCGAATTTAAACCGTTTCCTTCAATCATTGAATAATGATTGTTTCAACTACCAAGATCAAAGGAAAAACCATTGTACGATGATAAGCAATCATTGTGCAACCATTGTGTTCAACCAAGCGAAGACAACTCTTTTTCAACGACTGCGCAACCGTTTCTATACAATCATTGTAATCTTCAACCATTGTAAACTGCAACCATTTCACATTGAAATGTAAATGGTTGCAATATGTTTTGTTCAATGATTACATAGTTCAACCCCTGCAACCATCCTGAATTAGTATCGTTCCAAAAAATTATCATTTTACCTGAATTAAAATTATCTTTAAGTAAGGATTTGAATCTACCTCTATTCAACAACAGTATATTAGGATATTTTCTTTGCAAGCATACATGCATGTTTATTATAGTAAATAACTTAATTCATGTTAATATGTTTCTTTCTCCAGTACGAATTTAGGAATGCGATACCAGACTAGTTTTCCACTAAATGGCATATGATAATTTATGTTCTCTGTCATTTACATTATTTACACAAATCAAAAGCACCATATTTAGTGTTTATTTCCCTTTTCTGATATTGCCAAAATGATGTATCTTTAATATTAATAATGAAAAGAATTTAGCAAAAATCCAATTTGGTTAAGAAATTGACCAAGGAAAGTCGTAAGATTTCCTTTAAACTTAGCAAAATCACAAGATGAGACACAATGGTTTTTGTTCAT